TACACTCTTCTTGTTTTTTATGACCCCTTTTAATCTATTAGTAATGATTTTCAAAATAACATTGCATAGCAAGATAGGCTGAAAGTCTTTTAATTTGTCAAGTTTCTCTACTTTCGATATAAGGATAATGTGAGTGTGATTTACCTCTTTTACCTTTTGTGGGTTCCTCTATGCTTCCTAAACAAACTCATAAAGTTTTTTCCCAATTACGTTCCACTAAGTCTGGAAGAAGTGTGGTTGTATGCCATTAGGGCTAGGTGCTTTGAAAGCCCCCATCATTAATGCTACATTCTTTATCTCAACCTCACTCAACTGTTTATGAATTAGGTTGATATCCTATATTGTTAAAATTGGAAAGTCTGCAAACCACTCTGCCATAATTCCCTTGTCTGACTCTGTACTATAAAAATTTCTAAAGAACTACTCAACCATAATTTCCAAGTACCCATGATTAATAACTAAATTACATGTGTCATCCCTTAAAATGTCTACTCAATGCTTTCTTCTCCTTATAATTATTAAGGCATGGAAGAACCGAGTATTCCTATATCCTTATTGAAGCCAATACATTTTGACTTCTAAAACCAAATCAGTTCTTCCTGTGTGGAAAGTTTAAAGTAATCTTGCCACAATTTCCTCTTCAGTTTAAAAAGCCTATTTGACAACTTATTCCTCCTTAAACGATCAACCCCTCTAATCTTTTCAGAATATCACGTTCTTTCCTAGGGATATTGCCAACTATCGTGATATTCCAATGAGTAGCTTCCTGCTTAAACACTGACACTCCATTACACCAATTAGTATTTTCCCAAGATTTATTAAAAATATTAGAGAAGCCATCTTTTAGCACCCAGGCCGATTGGTATATAAAAGGATGTTCTTCAGACCCAGAAAAAGGGAAGCAAAACCTATGATTAGACTTGAATTTGAGCCCATGCACGGCCTTGCTATGAGGATATCATACTTCCTACTTGACATGCCCAAAAAACCAATATAATCACTCTTTTACACCCCTTTTCTCCTAAGTAAAATGTTAACCAACAACAGAAATTTCCACTAGTCCCAAATTAGAAATACAATCAACAAAATTTTTCATAGCAAGATAATTAGAAGAGTAACAACCAAGTTTATCTTGGGCTTTTAAGAATGTATTAAAGTCTCCCATCACCAACCAAGCTTGATTTGTGTAATCCGCAATCACCTTGAGAAACTGCCATAAACTCATCCTTTTGCTTGTTGACGTTTCACCATAAACAAAAGTCAAAGCAAACTTTTTAGTACTTCTTAAGTCAAATATCTTACAGTATAGAAATTGGGTACTAGAGTTCTATAGACCCCAAATTCCCCTTGTGAATCCTGTTGCCTTCACACACAACTAGTTATTAAACCACACTCCCAAACTTTTTGAGAGCTTTATCAAGTCTGTCACCACTAATTCTTGTCTCCATAAGACAAAATATTAATTCTATAATTCCTAACCACACCTTTCACTATGCTTGAAAACAACCTACTTCTACCCCCTCTACAATTTCACGAAGCAACAATCATTAGAGACACAAAATAAGTTAAGAGAAAGAACAACTTATTCTTCAAGGAGGTCTTCATCATCCCAGGTAAGATTTTGACTTGGAAACACTATACTTCCCAGATGATTAGGTTGTTCGAACAAAACTAAACTACAACAATTAGGATTCACAGCTTTATTACCTCCCAAGTCATTATCTCCTAGATCCCCTATGTACATCGCATCCCTCTAAAGGTTCAAAGGCAGTAACTTAGCTTGAGTTGGAACATTATGAGTTATTAAGGTGCCCTTGTGATTGGGTTGAGATTCTACTTTGGATTTTACAAGCGCCATATTTTTGTTTGAATTCCCATGTAGTCTCTCCTCTTTCTGACTCATCATATTTTCCTTCTCTTTCTTAATAATAGGTATTATCGGCTAGTTTCATTAGAGCCCAATTCATGTATATTGGCCTTCACTAGAACGTACTTCCCCTAGCGCCTAGTGGCTTTCCCTCCCCTAGTCTGGTGTCTGTTGAGCTTACTGTCCCTTTCATTTAGCACTAATATCTCATTTGTAAGTTCGGCCTTATTCCTTTTTGTGGGTTCATTAGGTTTCTCATTTTGCTTCCCCACTATATATGTTGATTTAGTCTTCGTTCCCTCTTTTCTTTCTTTGCTCGATAAAGCCGCCAACTCATTACTGCTATTCACAAATCTACTCTTCTTATCTACCTGAGATTTCTGCACAAGATCACCATTTCTCTGGCTAGCACCTTCCACTTTCTATAAGGTAGTATTATCTTCTGACACTAATTTCTCTTCCCCTAACAAATCTTCTAGAATAGTAAAACAGGCGTGTAACTCGTCACCCTTATGATCTCTGACGTTCCTAGGTCTACTCCCTTGTACACCTGTTGCTTCTTTCCCTGTACTACTCCTTGATGTTTGAGGTTTTGCAAGTCAACTCACCAACACCCAACTTTTGAACTCCTCCTTGACGACCTATTTGAATTTTGCCATTGACGAATCTTGATTTAGCTGAGCTATAGTGATTCTCTCTTTGTTCCAGAGGTAGATGTACCATCCAACCTTTGTTCTCTTAAATCACCAAAACTTTACCTCTGTGGCATAGTGAGAACCCAAGAATAATTCTTCCATTGATGGTCGCAGCAACCACAAGTGAAACAAATAAGGTATAGTCCTTTGTACTCCATGTTATAAATGGAATTTTCTGTAATTACTTTGGGCACTAGTTTCTTTTAAAGATCTAATTCAATACATACCTTAGCAAATCTGTCTCTTTCAACATTCAAAATTCTGGTTGAATTTTCTATTAGTGTTCTCATATGAACTTTAAGCATTCTGCCCACTCTGTTCCCTAATCTAGTTACAAATGCATTGTTGTAACAATGAAGCGAAATATTTAGGATACGAATCCGTGTTGCTATGCGTCTGAGCAGATTATTGTAGGCATCAAAGTGTGAAGGTCATCTCTGTACTGGAATACTATGATGCTAAACCACCTATGGACCCTCATATAACACCCTTTTATACATCTCTGTCTAGCCCTCCTTGTCGGCAAACTTAACTACAAAGTGGTTATTTAGAATGTGGATCAGGTCAATCCATTATTCCCCATATCTTGCACAAGAGTCCTTTTAATGTGTGCATATTATACTTCCTACCAAGCATCGTAATAATAAATGCCGAGTTCCACCGCTTACACTACTCTATATGAGGATATTAGTCTACTAAAGTAATAAGTTACTCTGATGGCCCTAGTAGCTCCATTCCATATTCAACATATCAGACAAAAATTCATCTTCTTCCATGCAGCAACTGCCATTCGCCACTTTATTAAACCTGAGAAGAGAATCTTGGTAAGATACTTGCTTTCTATGGCTTTTGCTTTTTGTGTTACTTGTTTCTTCTTCACCCTGCATTAAAGTAGCTTCCATCTGTTTGTCTTAGCTATCTGGGTGTTCCTTCGTTATCAATCGACATGGGATTTCTCAGTCTCTAATGTAGTCTTCTTCTTCTTGCTTCCACATACCACTGCATCAGAAGGTCGGTCTAGAGGCATTTTTCGGTGAGAAAGATCCTCCATTGGCAAAGTTAGACAGGGGCAAAAGTTTCAAGAGAGAGCGAGGAAATTCCCTCAAATCTTGCAATGTTGATTTTCATTCAATGAAGAGCCGATTCTATAGGAAAACATAATCATCATCCCCACAATCTATTTGCAACTTACAATGTCACCGTGTTACATTTTGCAGCCATCTATAAACCCATGGCATTATGTAATTTTTTTCATATCTTATTTGAGGACTTTATCACATTTATTGGGTTTAAATACATTAATTATGATTAATTTGGATTAAATTTGATTGAATGAAAATATTGCCAAAAAGGGTAAAAATAACATATTTTTATGATTTATTTTAATTGATTAATTTTTAGAATATATGGTATTACATTATCTTGAATTTCATTGTAAGAAAGTTGCAATGAAAAGCTGAAAGTGAAAAAGACGATTAAAGAGCTAAAAAATTAAGGAGAAGGACCAGACAAATTCGTAAATTGCAAAAAGAGGACCCAAAGGAAACACCGTTTTGACGCCTGGGGCTCAATCTGATTTCCTTCCTCCTCCTTTGATTAACCAAGGAGAGAAAGGGAGAACACAGCAAGATGGCGGAATGCGACCTCCATCCCCTACCACCTTCATTAATCACGTCCTCAACCCTCCACTGTCATCGACTTTCATCTCCATATCCCCATAACTACCATTCTCCCTTCCGTGTTCGCAACCTTCGTTCTCCATTAGTATCATCTTCAAGCTCTTGGAGAAAAGATTGTTCACTAACATCACCATCGCATTTTCACTCTTCCATCGTTATCATCGACTCCATCTTCCCCCATCTGTACAATCAGAATCATAACATCAGTCCTCCATTCCCCTCATCTGAGTTTTTCCAGTCCGTCGCTTTCTTCCCTCTTCCAGTTCTTGGTTGCTACAATGGTGATTAAAGCGTTGAAGGAGCTCCGTGGAGCAATCAATTTCATCATGAGTAGTTGACTGTGAGATTTCCCAACTAAGGAGATTGATCATTATCTACTAGATTATCTCCTCCAATGGTACTTAATGCGGATTGTTAATTTTGTTGTGAAATCCTTTAGTTAAAAGGCTCATTAATAAGTTAATCAAAGTGGTTGTTTGCACTAATTGGTTGATTAGAAATTAAAACTCTATAGAGTTTTTGAAGTAAGGAAGGCGTAGCCTGAGCTCAAAAGAAAAATTGATTTCATTTGTCAAGTTTCTCAAATTTTCAAATTCAATTTACCTTTCCACATATCTTTTCTATAAAAAAAATTACAAAAAACAAGTATTTAGAAACCTTTTCAATTATTTTACGAAGTAGTTTTTAAATCTAAAAAATCAACAAATAATTTTGATTTTAGTTAACCCTAGTCAATTTTGACTCCAATAAGAAAACGGCTTTAATTTGCAACTTTGCATCACTTTGTTGCATCCTAAATTTATTTTAATTTGACCCCAGGAAGACATGAGAATCAATACTTAGGAAACTTATACTTGACACGCATAAAATGTAATTAAAACACAAAATAACACGAATAAAGTTCCTTTGAATTGCAAATAAATAACCAAGATGGATTCTTGCTTCCTCCAACTAGAGCATCCTTTTGCAGGATCGAAATCCATAATATATGGATTTATTTGATGCGTCTTAAGTTTGCTTGGTTGATGCAAATTTTTTGAACGTAAAATAGAAACCGCACCATTTGTCATCAGCAAACGCATTATCATATCCACTGGACAAGAGTTCAACTGTCAACCAAAGCATGAAGACTTTCAACTCATGTTGTTGCAATTGAGCTTCAAGAGCCATGACATTTATGGACAATAGCTGCACATTTACGACACCCCGCTGGTCTGATATGTCATCATTTTCTCTTTCCATTTCCCATCCACATCGTCTAGATGTTTCTCGTAGAAGCTGACTTCTCCATCTGATTTCACAAAGAAAGCAGAAGAGCTCCTAGTGCCATAACGTCCCTGGGCAAAAGCAAACTTTCAGCTTGAAACAAGCTAAAGCAGCCGTGAGCAGGTAGACATATAAATCGAGTTTTTTAGGTACCCATGGGAAATCTGCTTCAACAAAAATAGAGCTCAAAGGATACTCTTGATGTGGGGGATGAATCCCAGGCAGCAAGTTTTCCCCGTCTTTAATTTTGTTTGTCATTAGCTTCTCAACCATTTCTTTGATGGGAAATTCACTTTCCCCGTATTGATCAATGAGCTCTTTGAAACTCTGACGCAACCGTTCACCCTAAAATGAGAATGAAAAATCAGCTCACTGCATGGTGAGATGCTATATTGGCTCTAAAAGAAACGTATTTATCGATGAAGTTTTAGCTGACAATAACCGAAGGCTAAGTGCCAAATTGATCGAGTTCATTGCATTACCAATTGGCCATCGGCAACCATAAAGCGTATTCATTTTGTTCGGTCACAGCAGAGCCGCAAATGCAAATGCAATGATGCCAATGGAATTTTATGTCACAGACAGAAAGAAAACAAGCAGAAACAATAAGCATCTTTACCTTTGGCCAAGCAGCATCCAAACTTGCATTAGTCAGGACATGAATACCAGGTGTAACCATACTAACACTAAGATTGTCTTTTTTGGGTCTATTGCTGACATAAACCATGGTTCTGCTGCAAATATCAACTAATATGAGATTAAAGCCATTATATTGATCTGCCTCTTTCAGAATCTCTATGGCAAACTCCCAGGGGCTCTTGTTGCTCTGTAACCACATGAGGGATCGAATCATGATTAGAGTTGACATGCATTTACTGGTCTTTCCCGACATAAAGAGACTAATAACAGAAGCAGAGTATTTGCTAAACTCCAAGTTAAATTCCAAGCATCTGTAATTGTGGCATAATTTTAAGCACTCAATAGCTATGAATGCAGGTTAAACAGAGCATCATGATTAAAGAAAATGTGCCTATATGAAATCAAGAAATTGTCCAGCCCCGGTCTTAGTATACATGATAGATGATGAATGGGGGAAATCAGCTGGACAGAAGTATAAATCTTGTAGGAAAGCAGATACACAAGGAAATGCAGGGAAATCACCTCCAGAAAACAAAGTGGTAGTTCCCCCCTGCTTTTAGGATTTGGATGCTTCTCACGTTCCCTGAAATTAGTGATAAAAGCCACTCTGCCATCCCTTGTGGAAGCCAACCAAGTGCCACCAGCTTCCTCATCCCTGCCACCCAAGATTCTATTTCCCGGCCACCATGCCAAGGGCTGTGTAGGCCTTTTAAAACATGAAAAACAAACCAAACCCCAACCGGATTTAGCCCAAAAAAAGCATCAACTATAAATTTCACATAATTCACAAATATACAAAAATTGTCCAAGAAAGAGATAAAACAGACCGAGTATAAAATTCATCCCTGTTGAGTAGGAGGATGAAGGGATACAAGGAGTGAGATTGCCACATGAACACTGCTATGCACATTGTATCACAAGAAATGTGTGCACGGACGTCTTAAGGAAATTTTGAAGATCTAAATCCAGGTTATGACTTCTACCTTATAGATTGACTTTCTGAAGGGATCAGATTGGAATGTACCATATAGAGTTCATTCTTTCACTATATTGTTGCGCAAAGAAATAAAAATTCCCTTGCCACTTGACAAGCCTTATTTACATAGGAACTTGATATATCACAATCTATTTCTTCCAAAATATCACTTTTGGGGCAAAAGATGAAGCCAGTGACGGCTAATGGGGTATGCCTGAGATCACAATATATTCCACACCTGCAAATTGACAAATTTCAAGAGAATTTATTCATTGATTTAAATTAATCAATTTAGTATGCAAAAAATTAATAAAAAAATACTCAAGATATCTTGCATGTCACGAAATACACAGTCTTCTCCAATTTACGGCCTCAATCAATTTAGCCTCTCCAATTCGACCCCGTGAACATAGATTTTTTTTTTTTTTTTTGGAAACACCGTAAACATATAATCAGCACACCTTCATCTTCCATTAGTTTTTTCCTCATTTTTCTTTTTAAGCAACTACTAGAAAATTTACTCCTGGCTCCGGGGAACAGTATTTCTCCAGCTGTCAGTCAAAAATAAAAAGCCAATTTTTTGTTCTCCCTTTCCTTTTATACTCATCCTTCTCTCTCCATCACCATTTTCTCCCTCTTTCTTAGTGACTATCTTCTTCATTTCTCCATTGTTCATGAACAAAAAAATAAAATATTAGAACGGAAATCTGGAAGTAGTCAAAAGTGAAAGATGGCTTGAAGGCACTATACCTCCAAATACCTTAGGGAAGAGGCACTAGAGAGGCACACACCTGAAGAAATCAAGGCACTACAGAAAAGATGGTATAGAAGCCAAACAATAGATGAATGTAATTTGAAAAAAAAAGTTGACACAAATTCGCACAAAATAATGAACAAATGATAGATAAAAGCATATATTCAAGCAACATTGAGAGGAACAACGGCTAAGTACAAAAGCCTACCAATATATTGACACATCATAGCTCTTCTCTCCTTATCGAATTTATCAGTTATGTTTCCTGGTCAGAGCTTTCCTCTTTTCTTAATTAAACAACTTGTTCAAGCTTTTGCCTCACAGAAGAATGGTGGCTCCTTAGTTCTTTATTAATGGCATCTTCAACCTCCATAAGTCCACAAGGCCAAACTTTTTAATTAAAAATTAAAAGAGTATTTAATTCTTTCACCATCTTAGCACTTAACCACCATCAGAGCAAATGACAAAACATCTCTGTAGTAACAGAGCATAGAATAATGCGTTTAGACTAGAACATCAATTTCTAAAGCACAGATCATGAAACAATTTCAATATCTGCCTCCCGTTTCATAAAGGAAATAAAAGAACTAGAGGAGAGGGTGACAATATGATTTGCAACCCGACTAAATAGGATGGAGAAGAAAATGGTCTCTGAAATGTTTTCATCATAGAACTCATCCCCAACCAATGATATTGCAGATAACATGGATAAGAAATCACCCACCTTAAAATGTTGTCGCTGCTGTTGATGCTACCGTCTCCGTCAGCCCGCCTTTCCCTGAAGGAATTTTGAGCCACCTGTGAAGAGTCCAACTACGAGAGTGCCATCGGAAGAGAGTGATGCGCGATTTGGGATGAGGAGAGCGGGGGCGACTGACTTGAGAATGATGCGATGGAATCTGGATTTGGGATTGCACATTTCGTCACTGCTTTTCGATGGCTTATGAAGAAATAGTTTTTTTTTTTTAATTAAAAAAATATTTTTGCTTCATGTTTACGTTGTTTTTAGGAAAGATGTGAAATAGCGAAATAACGAAGTAGGTTTCTAAATTAATATAATTGTTTGAAGAGACTGTAAATATAAATTGATAGCTAAAATATCAAAAAGTCCTTCTGCATCTTATATCATCTTCTCATTTGCAGACCCAAAACCATCTTCTTCAATCCATCTTCAACCTAGCCAATTAAACTCATTCTCAACCTAGCCAAACCTCATCGTCTCTGTTATGTCTACCTTTGCTTCCCCTCCTTTCCTCTCTTAAAGAAGCTGCCGCTGAACGATGCATCACAACTACTTGCTTTGTATTGAACCTCCTCTCTCTACTCTTAAACCCCAACTTCGCTAAATTCTAGGGAGGTTTGAGACTGATATACAAATTATATTTTGTCTTGTAGATTCAAAGTGTTGTGAAGACCGCTAGTATGCATTAATATGAGTGGCCGAAAAATATTGATTGCTGAGCTGTTGGATTTTTGGAGAGGTTTGAAGAGAGTTAATTTATGCAGTGGTTGCTGTCAAAGAACCTCTGATTTTTTGTTATTTGGCTTACCATTGTTGTAATTTCACTTAGTAATATTGTAACTACAAACTTGTTACTATAATCATAGCAACATGACATGAAAATATCAAAATGTTGGTCTTTTATTTATGGGTAGAACAATGTTAAAATTTTGTATTTATCAGTTCTAAATTGTAACAATATAGATCTATTTAATGTTCTAAAATTAATGACAAACTCAATCACGTAATTGTAATTTGGCTCACCAAACTTGTTATTTGGCTTATCACTCTTATCATTTGGCATTCTTGTTATTTGGCAATGAAATGGGAAAATAATGACAAGTTTTTATAAAACTTAATTTCATGAGAAACTCAATAATAGAATTGTTATTTCACTTACGATTCTCAGCAATTGGCTTACTACTCTTGTCATTTGGCAGTAAAATATGGAAATAATAACAAATTTTCATGAGAAACCCAATGACATATTTGTTATTTCGTTTACTGCTCTTGTCATTTGGCTGTAAAATATAAAAATAATGACAATTTTTCATGAAACTTAATTCCATCATAAACCCAGTCACATGCTTGTAATTTCACTTACCAAACTTGTTATTTGGCCTAACACTCTTGTCATTTAACTCATCACTCTTGTCATTTGGCAATAAAATGTGAGAATAATGGTAACTTTTCATGAAACTTAATTTCATGAGAAACCCAATCACAGAATTGTTATTTCGTTTACCACTCTTATCATTTGGCTTACCGCTCTTATCATTTGATGGTGAAATATGAAAATAATGACAACTTTTCATGAAACTTAATTTCATCATAAGCCCAGTCACATGCTTGTAATTTAGCTTACCAAATTTGTTATTTAGCTTACAATTCTTATCATTTGGCTTATCACTCTTGTCATTTGGTAGTGAAATGTGAGAATAATAACAACTTTTCATTGAACTTAATTTCATGGGAAACCCAATCACAAAATTGTTATTTCACTTACTGCTTTTGTTATTTGGCTTACTGCTCTTGTCTTTTGACAGTGAAATGTGAAAATAATAGTAACTTTTTATTAAACTTAATTTCATCAAAAATCTAGCCACAAGAGTGTTATTTCGCTTACCACACTTGTTATTTGACTTAACACTCTTGTCATTAGCTATATAATGTGAAAATAATGACAACTTATCATAAAACTCAATTTCATTGGAAACCCAATGACACACTTGTTATTTCGCTTAACACACTTATCATCTGGCTATATAATATGGAAATAATGGTAACTTCTCATAAATTGGATAAATATCATGTCAGTTATACATAATTGTCATTAACAATTAACAACTTAGCCCAGTGAGCAACTAGATATGGTAATAAGCTCCTGTCGAAATAATTGTGCTGGATAATTATTAATACAAAGTCAAATACATTAAACCTAAGTTAAATGCCCTAACATTATCTACAATTTATCCCATTTCGTTATCTACTGAGCCAGTCTTCTTTTTTGGCCTTTCCTCCATTGCCTGGCTGTGGAAGAAACTTCAAAGCATTATCACACCATTCATTGAGCTCATGATTGGCCAACCACTACATAAGATCACAGCGAAAAATTGACATTTCAGTCTGGACAACAAGTTTAACACTCAGCTCTACAAATAACAAATGAAGGATAACAAATCAAAACCCTACAAATAACAATTATTCTAGGTAACAAGACTGAATATATAAATAACAAGTTTACTCTTGGAAATAACAAGTTATAAAGATAACAAGTTAACTACTCAAAATAATAAATAATAAGTTTTGAAAATAACAAGTTAACTATTCTAAATAACAAGTTTTGAAAATAACAAGTTAAGTACAATATTAGAAATTACAATTTACATATTCAAAATAACAACTTTGCACTTGAAAATAACAAGCTCCAAATAATAAGTTAACTGCTGGAAAGAATATGTTAAGTTTTACAAATAACAGCTCAAGCCAAAGAAATTTGAATTCCACTACTGGTATTCAGGAAAACTTCAAAAACTACACCAAAGAGATTGGGAATCGAACGAAATTATGCCAAGAAAGTCATTAGCTCCATTTGCACGATTATCACAACAACCCCGACATTTAAATGAAAATAGGTAGACAAATGAAGCATAGACTAGACCCAACTTATAAGTCATTAATCTTAGTTTAACGTCCACAAGCAAGTTCTCACGCATTATTCAGCTTTAATCTCAACAACATATCATATCAACAATAATTCAGCAAAGCCCAATTTTAACTTTGTGTTCATAGGCTTTAAAACAACTAATTCAAACATAGCAATATCTCTTCAATCTCTACTCCAAGACTTCCAGCTTTATAATTAACATTTAATCTAACTTTGCAACATTTTCACATAACTTTCAACACTCTTTAACAGATGCTAATTATACAGAAACAACAATAGTATCTCTAGCTATATTTCCAGCTTTCACAATACACACGCATATTTATATTATACCAGATTCATAATCACCAATCTAACTATCATTTATCACTTCCAAATATGTTTGCAATGATTTAAAGAGTACCTCAACACTGTAACAATTTCATATTCAACATGAGATTAAGTATTTTCTTTTCCTTTCCTTTATAATCAAGAAATTCCACCAGGCTTTTCACTTCATTCAGTTCACTTCAAACAATCACAAGGCATTCAAAATAATATCCATAAGCCACATTACCATAGTTTTAGCTTTTTAATGTTATGACCCAGAACTTGCTTCCCTGGTTCAGCATTTACAGAACACACATATATATTTATATTATCCTTCCTTTTCACAGATCAGATGCAGGAATCAGATTTCAAATACACAACTATAATCTTCTAAACAGTAACAGCCCGCATGTATGCATAGTTTAAATTTTAGCATTTAAACATCCTTCTGGTGTGCATCTTTTTACTGATGCTTCACCTGACCAAAGAGAGAACATGGGATACAAAAGTTCACCCTAGAGCAGAGCACATTAATCTAATCACAGGCACATAAAGAAGCGGCAAGCATCAAGTTCAAAGGCCACAAAATAGGAAGAATTAATGGTAATTGAAAGGACAGACGCTCAAAAGAATAAACCAAGGAAAAAATTTAAGATAAGGACGACAATCTAAATAAGAGAAATAATCAACAAAAAATAGAAGATGAGCAGGAGAACGAAAACCCAGGAGAAAAGGAATAGCTCATAAATTAAAAGTAAATATCCTTTCCAATTCCTTCTTCTGAAGCTCCTCGCGATAGGCATCAATGGGGTTCATGAACTTGCCGCCCTTTGTCGTCTTCATTTTGAAGAGAGATTATTGAACCTCTCAGAACGCTCTGATTACCATTTTTTCTTGTTTTTATACTTTTTTTGGATTAATTAATCTAAGTCCTTATAGTTTTAATGAATTTTGTATTCCTAATTACTCCTCTTATTCTTAATATAAGACCTATTTAACTAATTTGATTAGATTAAAAAGTTAGGTAAGTTAGTTAATTATAAAAAAAAATGACACATTTTTCCTAAAATACCATAATCATCTTTTTTAATACCCCATCTTCCTCTTTATTTGATTATGATTGAGGGAGTATTCACAGGATAATTTAGAAAAAGTTGATAAATACGAGAAATAGGTCTTATATTTAAAACCAAAACCAACTAAAAATTAGGTCCTATATTAAAAATCGAAAGAGTAGTTTTTAATTATTTACTTTTAATATTTTATTAAGTGAAAATATTTTTTTGACTTAAAAACTGGATACTGTTACAGCAAGAAATACTTACATACTCTGAGTACCAGATCATCTGTATTCTCTCCAATCAAAATGTAACAGCTCACCTCATTTTTATCCTAACTATCAACTTACATGTTTTACTTAATTTATACTATTTTATTTTTGAAAAATAGTGCTTTTAAAGTGAAAAACCAATTTGAATAAATTATTTTACTTAACAATTCATTAATCAAGTCTCTCCTCCATCTTCATCTTCTTCGACAAAACTGAAAACCCTCATGTTTTCTGCTATGAAGCTCCGCCG